CGACCTTAGGAGTCTGATGGCAGAGGCAGGACACAGCGCACAGACACAAACACACAGACACACACACTTGGAAAAATGGCCCTCTCAGGAGGAGATCGGCGTTGGTTAGTAGTTGGAACCCAAACTTTGGAGTTGTAGACTGGCCTAGGTGTGAGCCCCACTTACGAGCTGCTGATCTTGCAGAAGTGATTTAACCTCTCTGAGCCTTCGTTTCCCCATTTATAAAATGGGCCTAACAGAGTTGTGAGGGTTAAATGAGAGCTCATGGTTGAAATAGCGTAAGACAGTACCTGACACACGCTTGGTGTTTAATGAACAGTGGCCGCAAATCACTGCAGGCCAGACTTTGCCCATCAGGGCTGCTGGTAAGAGAGTAGCCTAAAACAGCTGAGGCCAATCTAGGCAGGCTGCCTGGAGGAGGTGAGGCTAGAGCAGCGTGTTTCAGAGAGGTTGGGCCACAGGATCGCAGAGGACGTAGAAAGGAGCCGGGGTGTGTGGAAGGTCCTAGAGAAGAGCCTGTTGTCACCCTCCATCCTTGGTTAGGCCTGGAAAGGGACCCCTTTGAGCATCTCTGAGCTGTACCAACTCACAGATGAAGCTACTGCCATGGTTCTGGTGACCTATAAACAAATGTCCTGGGGAGTGGGGGCACTTTATCTACTTGAGTCTGAGCCAAACTCAGAGCGATGGCCTGCTGCCATGGCAGTGACTCACACCAGGCAGAGAGACCAAGGGCTCACACTGGGTGGCCTCCCACCGCAGAGCCCCTAAGATCCCCAAACCCCGGGCCATGGACCGATACCAGTCCGTGGCCTGTTAGGAACCGGCCGCACAGCAGGAGGTGAGCAGCTGATGAAGCTTCATCTGTATTCGCAGCCGCTCCCCAGCGCTAGCATCACCGCCTCAGCTCCTCCCCAGACCGTCAGGCGTTAGATTCTCATAGGCACCAAAAAGGTTGGGGACCGCTGCCCTAGAGCAAGCTGCAGCCCTAAGGACAGGATCAAAGGAGTGGTGCCCGAGGTCTGTCCCTTGGTTCAGAAGGAGGATCTGAGGTCCGGGAGGGGAGAGGGACAGAGAAGACGTCTTGTCTGGAGACCGTGCTGTGGCAGGGGCCTCACCCTCACGGCTACCCTTTTCCAGAGGACTGCACTATCCTCATTTCACAGCCGAGAACCCTGAGGTGCACAGGGGCCGTGTCACAAGCCCACAGCCCTGGAGCTGGCAGTGAAAAGCTGGGATTCGAACCCAGGGCAGGGACTGCGAGAGGAACACCTTGCTCACTGCGTTCGCTTTGGAGCCAGGGCCAGAGCCGGGCACGTGACAGCTGGGCACTACGCACCGGATGAGTGGTGGGCTGGAGGGACTGTACCACGTGTTCGGCCACAGGGGCCTGAGAAGCCTCGAGCGGAAGCCCCAGGCTGCCCAGGGACCCGCATCGCCAGGGGTTTCGGACACAGGCTGCTGCTCAGTTATCATGTGGTTTCAAAAGGAGGTTCCCCCTCTCTGAGCTGCTGAGGAAAAGCGGGTTCACCGCGGGCCCTCCCTGCCCTCCCTCTGCGGGGACATGGCACCCATGGTGACTAATGGGCTGGGATGTGAAGCGCCAGAGAACGGGGAGAGGAGCGAGATGACTCAGACCTGAGCGGTTATGCTGCAGACGCCCCAAAGGGAAAAGCAGAGAAAACCAGTGTGGCCGCTTTGCAGCAAGAGGGGCGTGGGTTACACATCAGGGGAACCGTCTGGCGGTTGGACTAGAGCAGACTGAGGAACTGGCCTGGGGAGGCAGGAAGCATCCTTAGTAAACAGGGAAGCTCTGGTCGAAGGCTTGTCTTCCGAAGGAGGCATCTGCATGACACCCCTCTCCTTGAAGGATCAAGATGGCCCCCTCCAGGTTACCATGGCAACCAAAGGCCCGTCACTTCCATGGCCAAGGGAGGTGGGGGAGGAAGCAGATCTGAGAAGGGGCTTCAGACCTTGAGGTCAGGGGAGTAAGATGTGGACCCAGAAAGGGGGAGGAGCCCACCCCCTCCCATGGGAGAGGGAGGCACCCACAGGAGCAGTGGCTAAGAGCCCCCTCAGGCAGTCCCCCAGCCCCCACCTCACATGAAATGCTGTGTTTTTCCAGTTGCCAGTGGTGACGAGGCCACGGTCCCAGCTGGGCGAAGAGCAGCCTGTGATTTCACCCTGGGCTGGTTCATTACCTGATGTCTCCATGGCAACTAGCCTGTGACATCACAGGGCCAAAGTCCTCAGGGGGAGAAGGCATCTTTGGCAGAGGCGCCTGTCCCTCAACTGAGGTTGGGTGCAGGAAGGCCGGGTAGGGGCCAGGAACCAGGAGTCCTCCAAGTCCACCACCAGCTCCTAGACGAATGACCTTGTTCCAGTCATGTCTCCTCCAGGCCTTTGACGACCTACCAGCTTCCTCTGTGTTCAGCTCCCCTTACTCTCTGTCTTCAGTCGCAAAGTTTTAAAACAGCCTCACGCCATGGCCGGGAGCCTTAGAGATATTCCAGCACCTTTCAAAGTTCCTAGGGGCAGCCTGTAGCCAGCGCCACCTGTCTGCATCTCAGTGGCCCTGGCTTGTGCACACTGGATCCTTATGAGTGATGGCTCTCAAACTTTTCTGACTGAAACCCATAGGCGTAAATATATTTTGCAATATGACCCAGTACACACACAAAGAAAAAGAAAGCCTTTATCCTATTAACCCCCCTTCCCAGCTGTGCAGACACCCGCCTGGGAGTGGGTGAGACGCTGGCCTCTCCTTTGCATGCATCCCAAATTTCTGCAAGTGAGTGTCTGGGAAACCCCACATTCCATTTGTTGGGAGAAAGAGGTAACCGCAGTCAGAAGGGAAGTTGAGGCTGGGGTAGCTGGGGCGGCTGCACCCCTCTCCCCGACAATGAGGGTGGCTTTCTTCAAAACATGGGCCCTTGTGCCTCTTTGTTCTCAGTTTGGGATCCTAGCAGGCAATTCCTGAAGGACAAGAACAGTCTCCATCAACTGACCATTTTACAAATGAGGAAAACAGAATCTCAGAGAGGCAGAGTCACTCGCTCAAGGTCCCACAGGCAGTGAAGGGCGGAGCTGGGATTTGGACAGTCTGGCACCAGAGCCTGACCCAGCTGGCCCTGGAGCAGACTCTGAAACAAGGATTGGGGTACAACTGATATATGAAGGAATAGAGAGAGCTGAAGCCAGGAAAGGGTGTCCCAAGGGGGTGACCTTAGCTTGATCTCACAGGGGACTCTGGAATGAAAGTTCAGCTCTGAGTGTTCTGACCCCAAGCCAAAGAGCTGGGGTCCTGCACCCACTCTAAATTCTCAGGTAGTTTCAGGAGAGCATCCTGCCTAGAAAGAGTCATGGGTGCTGTCCTTGGAGGCAAACCACAGAACTAGGAGAAAACAACCCAAAGAGATCTGGGGGGTTGGGTGGAGCACCCACACCACCCTCCAGTGCTCACTTCTTTACCTCCCTGTCAACACCTCTGCAAGTCTGCAAGTCCACTGCAGCCAGCTCCCTCCCTGCCTCTGGGGTTGCCTGATGCCTCCTACCTCCCGCCCCGGACCTCCTTGGCCTCAGCTCCCTCCAGGAAGCCGTGCCTGCTTCCATACCATGAGTGGTGGGAGCCAGCGCCCAGCACAGGATGGGCTGGAGGCTGGGTGAATGTCCTGCAATAGCCCAGATGCCCCTGCTCCTCAGTCCTCCCTTCCAGACTCCACGGCTTTGTGCAAGCTGCACCCCTGACTGGAACACCTTCCTCCCAGCACCCCGTCCTGGCCAGCTTCCCCATCAGCTCTCCTGTGCAGCCCAGAGCCTGCCAGAACTCATGGAGGACTCCTCTATGCTTCGGAAGAGAGTGAACCTCGGTGTCAGACCGATAGGGCTCAGATCCTGACGGCCAGTTACAGGCCGAGTGCCTTGGGCTAGTGGCTTTCCCCTCTGTGCCTCAGTTTCCTCACCTGTAAAGTCGAGCGACAGATTCCTAGCTCTCTAGATGGATGTGAGAACTCAGGGCCATCACACCGGAAAGCAGGGTATAGAAAGAAGAGTTCTTGGCTGGTGTTCTTCCGGGTCAGTCTTGTGTTTGAAGGGGAAGCGTTGGGGCTGGTTTTGTCCATCAGACAGGGGACTCCCTGATGAAGTGACAAAGTCTTAATCCCCAGGGCCTTGCACAGAGTAGACATGCGATAGAGGGATGCCAAGTGGGTGAAAGCATGAATGGATGCATAGATGAATGAATGAATGAATGACGATCCCCCAGATGCTTACGTAACTGGGTTTTTCGTGACACTCAGGCCTCAGGTCTGAGAAGCCCTCTCCGGTCCCCCTCCCGAGTCACGCAGCCCCTCATTTTTTTTCTTCAGTTGTTATCGCTGTCTAACATCTTATTCATTGTGTTTGGTTAATGATCTGTCTCCCCCACTAGAATGTCAGCTCCATGAACAGAACCCATCTCTGTCCTGTTCGTCACTGGGTCCCAGAACTGTGCCTGACGCATAGCAGGTGCTCAGCTAATACCTTTGAATGCCTCAAAGAGTAAATAAATGCATTAATCGAATGACTAATAAGGATGTTTCCTGTTATCCCGTGCGGGTGGAGAAGTCCTCTTCCATTCAACCCAAGAATTCAGGTCTCAGCTCAAGGTCACCTCCTCAGAGAGGCCTTCCCTGACCACCCGATTCGACGTGGTCCTCCCTGTGACCGTGTGGGCCACTCACTTCCCACCTGTCATCATGCTCTGATATTTTTGTTTGTTTGTTTGTTTATTAGTGGAAAGTAGTAGGGGAAATTGATTGGAGGTCTCTGTGGGGTCAAAAAAGTGCTGGAACGTGAGGGCTAGAATTGTGAAAATGGAGTGACAAGCAGATGGGCAAGTAATTCCCACCGAGAGGACCCAGCAGGTGGAGAGCCTGGCTGGACTTCTCGCCAGATGTGGGTTTGAGTCTGTTTCCTACAAAACGAGGACAGGTAATAATAAAGTAACACCCGCTTCCCAGGGCTGACCTGAACGAGCTTGTAAGCAGAACACTCAGTTTTTCTAAGTTCCTCCTGTCTTTCTTATTTCCAGATCTGTTCACAAGTGCCCACAAGGACTGCCCCATGCCTCAGGGCACAGACACCCTGAGCCCAAACTTGCCCTCCCACCACCCACCACCCACCATTGCTCCAGACTACGTCACTGGCAAGGTAACTGGTCATGCTTCATCTCCACCTTCACCCCTGCCTCTGCCCTGGCGCCTGGGCTGTCCCCTCCAGATCCCCATAGGGGGCAGAAACCATTCCAGTCTCCTCCCCTCCCCAAGCTTGGCTAGTTCTTGTGGGATCAAAACCCTTAAGGTTTGGTATTCAGCTGGGCAGAGGTGTGAAATGGGCTGGGCATCCAGGAACTGGATCAGGCTTATTTAGAAGAGAGGATCCCACCCTGAAGGGCTTCCCACCCAAATTAACTCAGGCTTGCAGATAACAACTTCTCTTACCAGCCCAGGAATCCCTAGTAGCCTGCACTCCCTACTGGAGAGTAAAAGGAATAGAATTCTCAGTCCAGATAGATTAGGAAGATCTTGCTAGGGACCTCCAATCCTGCTACATAATTTCCACCCCTGCTCCAGAGGTTGTAGCTTGAGCCTACCACATGATATAATGATCTTTTTAAAATTTTGAGCACATACCACATGCTAAGCATTATGCTAGGCACTTTGCCTACATTATGTCACTTATGTTTCTCCACAACCAGAGGTAAATGGCATTATCTCATTTTATAGAGGAAGAAACTTATGTTGCAAGATGTTAAGTCACTAGTCTCAGGCTACCTAGGCAGAACTGGCAGAGTCAAAACTCAAACACAGGTCTGATCTGTCCCTTTCACCCACTGCTTCCCCTGGCAGAGCCACCCTCCCCACTTCTTTCTCTGCATGCCAGGGGACACCAGGGCACAACTCACGAGCAGGCAGACCCCACCCTCAGGGAGCATCAGAGGGCTGACCCACACCTCCACCCAGGACCCTAAGACTCATGCCACCTGCTGGCACAATGTGCCAAGCCCTGCCTGATCCTCTTCTCTTATTTTAGGACAAACAGATGGATTTCTGTTGGGATCCTTGGCAGGTCAGTGCACTTGCCTGTGGCCCAGTCTGGTCAGCCGCGGCTGACACCACTGCCCCTCCCTCCACTGGACCCAGCCTGGGCACCAAGTCCTGCCAGCCCTGGGGGAGGGGTGCCTGATGAAAACGGTGCTGGGAAATGGTCCCGTGGCAGTTGGCAGGATCACCCTGGCCCTGTCCACTGCCCAGGGGCCCTGGGGAGGCTGGGTAATGAGGATGGTGGGATGGGCGGACGTGTTGGGCAGGTCTCCCCCACCTACTCACCCCTCCCCCTCCCACAGAGGTGCTTCCAGACCACCAACGGCTACCTGTCCGACTCTAGATCCTGCTCCAGCAACTACAACGTGGCAGCCCTGGCCACCTCGTCCCTCGTGGGTGGGTACCAGCTGCTCTCTCCTGGAGTTTGCGTTGTCCACCCTGGACACTAGCTGTAGGGCTGCAAGGATCAATTGCAGCTGGCAGGACTGCGGCCCCGTGGAGTCATTTTCTCAAAGCCAGGCTCCGAGCTGGATTCTGCAGGAAGTAGTGACGTAGGGCTCCCGCCCCCAAGGGTGAGATTGTTGGGGCCTCCAGAAGCTCTGAGGGGATGGCCCGATTTTTCAGATGTCTGCCTGGTGTGGTCACCCTGTCTCTCTGCAGCAGACGCCACCTTGGGTCAGTTCCCTAGATGCAGAGCCAGAGGCAGGAATTGTGTGTGATCTACTGAGGCATTTTCTCAAGGGCCACCTGTAGGAGTGAGGGCTGTGGGGCAGGATAGGGGAGGGGCAGAGACGTGGCAGCAGAAGCCTCCTCTCTCTGAGCCATGAATCGCACTGCAGAATTCACTGCCCTTTGAGGGGAGGGGGCTGACATCATATTATTCCATCAGTCAGTGGCTGGTAGCCCCCTTCTCTCCTGCCCGCCCGCACCCCCCAACTCCTGACATCTCTGGCTGAGGCAGCTGCCATCAGCTAAGGGCGAGTCTCCAGAGAAGCGTGCAGGTGTGAGCGCTGGGGGTCAGGCAGGCAGGCCAGGATAGGGACTCTGCCACAGCATCTGCCCAGGTGGCCCACAGCACAGCCTTCTGGGCCGTTCTCAGCAGTTCCTTTGCTCCTGGCTTTGCTCATACACGTTGGGCTCGCATTTCATTAACTCCCTCCCTGCTCCCACATTTGCCTACACTGTTCCCTCCACCCGAAACCCCTTCCTTCGACCTCACCTGCCCTTCAAGGACCCCTTGGACCACTTCCGAAAACCACCTCTGGTTGCCGACGCTCCCCATCTTGGGGCAGGGGTTCGCCCCTTCCTGCGCACCTCCCATCTTTCCCATTTTCCCAGTGTTTCGTCTCTAGCTTCCTTTGTGGATGCCCGATCTTTCTTAAGTATTGCCATTCTTCATATCATGGCTTTAGGGTCCCTGTGACCCACAGATCTGTCGTCCACTGCTATTAAAGGAGATGCTGAATCACTCCTGAAAATCCTCTGTCAGCTTCCACATCCAAGGGGTCTCGTCCTAAGAACTCCTTCAGGCCCTCCTCCGCAGCTGCCCAGCCCTTGCCCTGTCTCTTGCTGGGTCCCTAGCGACCCCCTGCCTCCACCTTTGGCCGCTAAGCCCCTGATTAGGATGCTCTTCCTAAACCACAGAGCTCACCTGTCACTCTCCTGCTCACCACCCTACTGTGGCTCCCGCTGCTATAAGGAGAACTTTGGTGCCCTCGGCTTGGCTCTCTCAGCCCCCAGTCTGGGCACCCCAGCTTCTTCTGCCACCCCAGTCCCAGCATACTGGAATCACGCCAGACTCTTCCATGCCTTCATCATCTTATCTCTGAAAAAGCCTTCAGTCTTGCCCCGATCTGTCCAACTCAACCTGCCTTCAAAGCTGCACTTCAGTCTGCCTCTTACAGGAAGTCTTCTCTGCCTGCTGCACCCCTCACAGATCTCGCTCTTGGCAGAGCTGGCACTGGGCTAGACACGGGGTCTGCTCTCGCCACACTTGTTACTTAATGGGCAAGGGGAGAGCTGGGTGGATCTTGAGTGGATGGCTCCTTGAGCCGATATCTTTGAGTCTGAACTTGGTCAGAAAGGGAATGCGCTGTGGCAGGCCTGGGGAAGAAGCAGCAGGAAGTGGGCGGGGACACTGACTGGGAGCGGGACACTAGGAGAGCTTGGGGCCTGCAAGTGGGTGGGGAGCACCTAAGTGAGGGGGGCCCTAGGGCTGGGGGAGGGCGTGGGGCAGGGAGTGGGCACAAAGCATTGGCAGGCATGAGGAATTAGATGGGTACAAGGCATTGGTAGGTGCAGGGCTGTGAGAACAAGGGGCCTTGAATGGATGTGGGGTACGAGCCGTGGATGGGCTTGAGCTATTGGGGGGCTTGGGATATTGGAGGTGGGGCTCTGAGCTGGGCCTTGTGTCAAGACAGTCACCTGACTGCCCTCGATGTCCCCAGGGGTGGTGCAGAGCATCAAGGACCACATCACAAAGCCCACAGCCATGGCACGTGGCCGTGTGGCCCACCTCATCGAGTGGAAGGGCTGGAGCGCCCAGCAGTCCGGCTGGGAGCTGTCCCCAGACGAGGACGAGCATTATTGCTGCCTGCCAGACGAGCTGCGTGAGGCCCGCTTTGCTGCAGGTCAGTGGGAAAAGGGGAGCTCAGGGACAGGGACCGGCCAGGGCTCTGGTCCTTAGTGGACACAGCATTGCCACCCGGGCATTGTCTCGGCAGGAAAAAGCAAGGTGAGGGGTGGCCGGGGCATTAGGTGGGCACTCTGATCCCCAGGGCTTGGATGGACAGCCCAGCTAACTCCCAGGCTGTTGGGTGGCAGCCCGTCCTGGCACTGTGCACCCCCCACCACCACCATGCCCCCTCTGAGCTGGGTCCCACTGTCCCCCATAGGGGTTGCTGAGCAGTTTGCCATCACGGAGGCCACACTGAGCGCCTGGTCCTCTCTGGACGACGAGGAGCTGCACCCCGAGGACATCCCCCAGGACATGGTCCAACTGCAGGGTACTGCCTGGGTGGGCGCCAGGGTGGGGTGGGTGGGGCAGAGCCGGCGCTGGATGCCTGCCCTGTGACCTCAGCCAAGCCTCTCCTCCCCTCAACTTTAGTTTCCTCGTCCAAAAAATGAGGCTGGCGATACTTAACCTGCCCATTGCCCAGGAGTGCCATGAGCATAAAGGAAAAAATAATAATAATAGATAATACGAATTAAGGGCTTACTATACAAAGAGCCAGGCTCTGACCCTTAACACCAAGCACAGCCAAACACTTTCACGCAGCTGGGTCCTGCGTGGTCCTTCACCAGCGGATTTTCTCATTTCCTCCGCCCTCTGATGGTGGGGGGAGGGGAGGCCTGGGAAGAACCCTGGTTGTCCCAATTCTCAGAGCACAGAAGGCTCCCACACGGAGCTTCTCTAACTACTCCGCTCTCTGCCACCACCACTCCTATAACCCCAGGGAGAAACGGGCTCAGAGAGGTTCAGTGACTTGCCTAAGGTCACAGAGCTTGGCCGTGACAAAGCAGGGCTTGGAGGCTGGTCTTCTGCCCCCTGCCCGTACTCACACACCAGAAGCGGGCGAGGGGCAGGGTCCGGGACCTTGTCCCTCACCCCGCCTCCCTTTGCTTTTCCAGACCTGGAGAGCATCCACCTTCAGGACAGTCTTCTGGCCTTCTCCTCCCCAGGCCTCTCCCCTGATGGCTGGCCGTCACCCGAGGAGACCCCCATCACGGCTGCTGCCCCACAGCCCCCTGGCCCTGAACAGCAGCATTGGCAGCAGCTGCCGGGGGGCCCAGGGTCTGAGGGTGGGGCCTGCCTGCAGGGCTCCCTCCCCTCAGTAGACAGCGGCTCCCTCTCAGAGGACGAGGTGTTCTATAACTGAGGCGGGACCGCGGGGCCCGGATCCTGCTCACACTACCTTGCCTGGAGGGCAGCCCAGGTGTATCAGGGCATCAGGTCGGGCTGGGCCTCTCTTGGCCCCTCAGGGCTGGCATGGGGTGGGTGAGGCGGGGATGGGGGCCAGTACTCCTTGTGGACCACTCTGTGCCTCCATGGACCTGCCCCGAGCAGTGGGAGCCATATCCTCCTTGTCCCTCTTCACCGGCTCAGGTGGGCAGCTTCTCCTGCAGGGTTTCTGCCATCAGCGAGCTCGAGGACTCAGCAGACACCACGGCAGGCTGCCCAGAGGAGCCAGCAGCCAGGCCTCCGGGCGGACGACCGTGGGACACCCACTTGGCATGGGTCCTGGGGACCCTGCCTTGACCCCGGGGCTCAGGCCCTCCCCCTCTCCCTCTGGGCTTCAGCCCCGCATCAGAGGTGGGGTAGCCTCTTCTGGTAGCTAAGCGTCTGTTCCTAAGCTGTCATCACGGGGAGACCTATCTCATGGAGCATCTGTCTGTCCCTCACTCTCTGAACCCCTATGCCCCTGCTCCCCCTCCAGGCACCCTCCTCCCCTCTTCCTTTAGAAGGTTCTCTAAAGACATTAAAGTGGTGAATTGAAGCTGGGTGAACTTGGCCTGGTCTCTGCTGGAGCAGGCATGTCCTTGGGGGTCCTGGAGGGATGTCTAAAGGGACTTAGGGGAAAGCCCCTAACTCCCAACACTCGTACCACTGGTCAACATGCTGCTGCCCAGCTAGGAGAGTCTCCATGGAGGATGCCCAAGGTTCTGTGGACTCCCCAAGGAACCATACCTGGGGACCCCACTTTATCAACACTGGCTCAGCCAAGGGGAGCCTGGGGCTGGGGTGACGGTAATGGGGCCACAGGGTCCTGCTTCTACATGAGGACAAGCATCGTGAGACCTGGTGGGGGACCCTGCCAGGAATGGGGGCGTGAGGAGTGGGAGACCAGGGACCCAGGCCTGCAATGCCCACAACCACCAGGGACCCCAAGAGCTCCCTCAAGGCCAGCACGGGAAGAGCTGAGGTGCCACGTCGGCACCGTGGGGCTGGAATGAGGGATGAACTGCGTCTCTGGGGGATGGCTTTATTTTTCTCAGGAGCCTCTGGCTGGGAGTCAAACAACCCCTAGGGGGCATCTGCGCCTGCCCTTGGTGATAACGTACACCAATCTCTTCATCTGTGAAGTTGATGAACTTGCACTGAGCACATACTGTGAGCTGGTTTTCTGCCATCTCGCATTCTGAGCTCTGTCCGAGGTGGGATTTGTCCTTCGAGGCATGTAGCACTTGTCCCGCCCGAGGATGGGACATAGTGAACATGGGGCCCTTTTCGGTGCTGAGCTGGGCCTGCCCGCTTTGCTGAGGAGCTGAGCTGGGCTGGAGGGGAGGGGTGTGTGACGGTCGAGGAGAAACAGGACGTCTGCCCAGCCTTCGGCAGGCAGCGGAGGTGGCTCGTTTCAGCGTGCCGGGCTCGCTCACTTTGGAGCCGGTGGGTTTGTCAGGTTGGAAATTACTTTCTTCAACTAGAACAGAGAAAAAGGGCATTTTAGGGGGAAAGTGTAGAGAAAGTCAAGCATGGGGTCTCTCGTCTCATTTGACACTCCTCAGGTTTAATTCTAGGGTGAGCGGTAGAGCCAGTGCCTCCCCATTGCACAGATAGGACCACAGAGGCCCAGAGGTGGACAGGGCTGGCCACTGGCTACAAAATAAGGCAGGGGTAGCCAGGCCCAGTGGCCACTCTGGACCAGGAAGCAGGGCTTGTCAAATCCCATGAGGCCCCTCCACGTTTGCATGGGAAGATATCGGGGCCCTCTGCCTCCCCGAGCATGGCTCCTCTGCTTTGCTCAGCCCTGGGGGCCCTGGTACCTCCACCCAAGACACGGAGCCCACGGCTCTGCCCTGGGACGTCACGAAGAGGGACT